GGGATGCTTACAGGGCCGGGAGCAGTGATCACTGAAGACCACCAACACACCGCATCAAAGACCCGGTGCCGACACACTATCAGAGCATAGGAGGTTGTCTGTGAAGACTTGAAATGTCACTGCAAAGTGTCACTCCATTGACAAATAGGATATTTCAAAGGACAATCTGAGAGGAGGGAGGATCTCACCTTCGTGCAAGTGCAGGGCCAACACAGAACAACTACCGAATGGGCACTGCACAAACAAGAAAGCGGAGCAATTTAATTATGTGTGCCCAGCGGGTGTCGCTATTGCCACCTACAGTTCGTACACATTCACACATCCAGGCTAGCAGCCAATCTAAGCAGGGAGAGAAAATGAGAGAACTCGTCAGGTCGGATCCTGCTGCTGCTGCAGTGTGATTGTCTCCGCGACAAGAGTGTTAACACATAACAACCCTCCCCAGAGCCATCATCGAGCGGACACAATATCCCTAATTGATTGTCGTCTACGACTTTATTGTCTCTCCCAACGCTGTCACAAAAGATTGTGTTGTGTTTCACATGTCCTTCTGAGTGTGTGAGAATGTGTGTGTGTGTGCGAGGATACGTCCTCCTTCTTCTCAGTCCATCCGGCGGCATTTTCCTCTTCAGATAGGTGTCTAGTTCCTCGGACTTTGTCAATTAATTGCTCGATTGTCACACACAGTAGCAAAGACGTTGTCGCTGAGACCACTGACAGCAGGAACAACTTCTTGTGTGGGCCACTAAGTAGTAGCCAAATATGAGGCTAGTGGTGATCGTACAATAATGGCAGGAGAACCAAGCACAGTGACGACATACTTTGTGTGGGCCTCACTGCCAGAGGCACTTTATCATCATCACGGAACTATTAACAAGTGACGTGTTGAAATGCCATTGCGCCGCCCCACTTAGGAAATGTGAGTGATTTATGAGTTGACCACCAAGGAGTTAGGAGGGAAAATAAATGCAAATATTCCCTTAGATGCTAACACATTGTCACACCGTCCCAGAAAGCTAGATACTCCAAATTTAATTGGAAATGTTGTTGGTACAATAATATAAGGACATTTGATGTTGGTACTTGCCACTTGTACTTATACAGGAGTTACATTATTATTAATTATTTTTACTAAAAGAAAAATTAAACCATTGAAGAGATAAGAACGGTCTTACACATTCGAAAGAATTTACTAAGTAAATATGACCGGAAAAGTATGCGGACAAAGCTCATTTACCTTTGATAGCACAGGTGTTAAAATTGTAAATGAATATATCGTGATTTGCATTGGAAGTGTATACCCTCAGCCATATGGCTACGGGTCTCATCCACACTACGATTGGAGTCGATCCAAAAAGTCAACATTTTCATAGAAAATCCTAACATTCGTATCAGTGCTAGATCGGGTTCGAAAATAGGCAATATCGGTTCATTCTATCCAGTACCAGCCCCACAAAAGGTCAAAAATTGGAATAACTATAACGCTTGTAAAATGTAAAATAAGAGCCATATGGTCTTCAATTTCACGCTTCTTGATATTTTCATTTACACAAGATCTGGTGAGAAGATGGGGTATATCGGTCCACTCCATTTGGTATCTCCCCCACAACGACTAAAAAATTAGAGAAGCCATGGACGCGAAATGAGCATCCGATTCTTTTCAAACTCGGCACACCCCAATATAGTTGCCCACACAAGATCTGCTGCGAAGATTGTAGATATGTAAATTGTATATAAAATGCGAATTGAGCATTTAATTCTCCTAATGTTACACACCCCCCAATATTTCTACTAGAACAAGATCTGGTGTGAAGGTGGGATATTCGGATCACTCTTTTTGGTACCTCCCATAAAGGCGCGAATGTTTTGAATAATCAAACGCTCACGAAATGCGAAACAAGCATCCAGATCTCTTCAAATTTCCCACATCCAAATGTGTTTTATTAACATAAATCCTATTATGAAGATGCGATACATCGGCCCTCTTCTCTAAGCACCTCCGCGACAAAAGAGATCGAAACTTTGAATAACCAAAACGATCATAGACACAGATCTGGTGTTAAGATGACGGGTATTGGTCCACCCCCTCTTGGACCTCTCCCACAAAGGGTTACAATTTTCAATGCTCTCTAACCCATATTTCCCATCTTTGCTAAACAATTCAGTAATTCTTTCTAACTTCGTATATCGAAATACTTCTCTCTGATGTGAATATGGAATATATCGGCCCACTCCTTCTGGTAACTCCCCCACAAGGGCTAACAGTTTCATTAGCATACTCGTACATTCGCCAAAATGAAATCGATTTTCATCAAATTTCCTTGACAATTTTATTATATTTTTAAATAATCATCATATCTCGATATAATCCAAATCTGACACGTTGTAATATGCATATCAGACTTAGATAAGATACGAAATGCACAATATTAGACCACTCCTTCGGAATCTCTCCCAGTTTGAATAAACATAACGCAAGCTAAATATATTAAAGAAAGTTGACTGAGGGTGATATACATATGTCGGCAAAGCGATTGAAACTTTTCACCCAGCTCCCATATTGATGTCTGTAGAACTCCAGGAGTTACAGCTTTATAACATGGAGTTCGACATAAAATCAGAAAACGGTATTGAGTTTATTAAGCATTGATCTTGTACAAAAATTTGGCAATGCCACCTGGTGACCCAATTGCGAATAGTAACTTTTTGCTTCGGCAAGTCAACATTTTAATCTCAAACTGAATTTCTTAAGATGTGACCTTCTTTGATTAAAGGAACGATATGTATTTAGGTTACGCGAACCGCTTGCTCGTTGTGGATCTTCGCTATTTTCTGTTGCGCAAGCTATAACTTGGGAATACTTGTATTGGTTTAGTTCCCAGTACCGATCAGTGATGTTCCCCTGTTGTAGATGTGTGGACCTGTTAATTTATTGAAAATAAGAATCGAATAACGTTGAGTTGGCAATTGGATTGACTAGTTTCTTTATTTTTCTGATCTGGCACGAAACTTTGACAGCACATGATGGAATGTGGATTGGATTCGTATGCATTTCAGTTGTTCGAAATTTTCTTCCACAGTTTTATAGAAATTAAAAAAAAAATCAAGACAAATGAATAGCAAACACGGAAAACTAGAGAAATGTGAATCCACTAGGATGCCAGGAGCTATTATGGCACTATTATATTTGTTTGTGTCAGCGTACGAAAACTAAAGAAACGATTAAAATACAGCTCTCACAAGTCAACAACTTTTCATTTCTTCCAATCGTTTTGTACTCCACTCCAAAAAAAAAAGAAAGTAAAGAAAGTCTTAAAGTCGGGCGGGGCTGACTTTATGATACCCTACACCACTTTGCTAATTTAGTAGAGCTCCGCATAACAATTCAAAGTTTTTATGGGAGAATTCAATCATACACGCTATGATTATAATTATAATTTAAAGTTCTAAGGGCTAAATATGCCGAAGCATTTGTATCTTTTAAATTCGGACTTGTATTGCCCATTTCGAGCACAATTAATTTGAAATCGGATAAAATATATATGGGAGCTATATCTAAATCGGAACCGATCTCGATAAAATTTGGCAAAGATATTTCTGAGCTGTATTTGATGTATTTCCCTGAATATCGTTGTTACGGAGTGCATATTACGGCTGTGGGTAACAAATATGACAAATCGGATGAACAGTATATATGGGAGCTATAGCTATATCTGGACCGACCTTCACCAAATTTAACATACTAGCTTCTAGACTCAATGCGGTCGTAAGTGCAAATATTAGACGTTTGGTCCACAATCAAAGGTAAATCGGACGAAGTTATATCCAGATCTGAACCGATCTCGATAAAATTTAGCAAATGTATTTCTGAGCTGTATTTGATATATTTCCCCAAATATTGTTGTTACAGAGTGCATATTACGGCTGCGGAGGACAAAAATAACAAATCGGATGAACAATATATATGGGAGCTATAGCTATATCTGAACCGATTTCGATCAAATTTGGCATACTTATTTTCAGGTCCAATCTGGTCGTACGTGCAAAATTCCATACTATTCGGACTGATGTTACACGTTTGGTGCACAATAAAAGGCAAATCGGACGAAGATATATGGGAGCTATATCTAAATTATGACCGATTATCTCCAATAGGGTTCGTCCTTGGACCAAACAAATGATTTGTGCAAAATTTCATTTGGATAGAGCAATAAATACGAAGTGTACTTTGTTTACAAAAATACATGGACAGACGGACGGACGGACATGCATAACTCAACTCAGAATGTGATTCTATGCAGATCATCAAAAAAGAACTATGGGTCTATCTCGTTTCCTTTTGCCTGTTTTAAACAAATGCACAAAGACATAATACCCTGACCGCCTTGTGGTGTAGGGTATAAAAAAACACAAACATTTCAATGCCAGGAGTACACTAACAATACGATTGCCTTGATGCACTTCGGTTGCGAGTTGCCGAGCTGAATCGTTCGCGATCGAATCGCCAGGAAGCGTTTCCAAACGTTTGATGTGTGAATTGATGACTGGTTCATTTAGATTTGTTAGCCAAAATGTGTTTGTTTTTTTGTGGTTTGGATGGATAATGGATGTATTTAACAATGCGAAATAAAAAACAAGTTCCGTTATCTTAATATCGGGTTGGTTTTGTTTTGGTTCCGTTTGCAAACAAAAGTCTATTGAAAATCAAGAGCTTCCTGAAAATATGAAATGAAAAATATTTTCTTTCCAAAAGTTTTCATTGAACAGACATTGAGGTTCAGGAATGTTTAACACGAGAATTTCCGAAATAAGATAGATAGAAAATAAATGTAAATGCATGGAATGTTGGCCCAATCCTAATTTGGAAATATTTCCGTTTTAGAACTTCAGAATTGGCAGGTTTAGAGCATTTGGATAATACGACCGTGCAAAGTGATTTCCCACCGATTCGAAAACCTAAAACTTCTCACAATTTTTGTAAAATACAAACAAATGCCACATAATTTTTTGATACCTTGATTTTTAATACCATTTATTTTTATAATTGAACAAAAAACGCTTACACTATTCTATAGAAGTACACACTTAAGCTTAAGCAACTAAAACAGTCTCAAATTCCAGGTTATTATCTGGGCAACCATATTAGGAAAAGTACAACGTTAACATAAATATATACACATATGAATCTTATAAACTAATCAATTAATAGAATTGCAGAACATGTAGCACTGAATCGCTAATCAGGTGTACTTTTAGAATCCAAAGTAAGGATAGGCACTTGAGGAGGCAGCTGCTGGTTTGGAGTCGACCATCGATGTGTGGTACGAGCTCATGGGGTTTGCGGCTGAGCTGAAGAATGGCCCGGAGAAGTTGTAGGAGTCCCAGGAAGAAGGGTGGGGGTGGGTCGCAGTTGCAGCCGCGGAGGCAAATTGGGAGCGCAATTGATCGGCCGAAGAAGCCGCAAAGGATGCGGCTCCTGGCACTGCGGGATAAGTGGACGATGAAGTGTAAGCTGACGATGATTGACCGGGGGCTGGTTGGCCATAGCTAGCGGAGGAATTAATATAATTGCTGCTGTCGGCACTCGAAGTAGCATGGTTTTGGGTTTGATGGCTGGGCGACAAGGAGGCTGAGCTGTAGCCTGACGAGCTGTGGGGCGACATGGAGGCTGTTGATCCGGTAGAGTGGGCATAGGTATGATTCTGTTCAAAGTTTGAGTTGGACTGCTGTGCTCCGATGGTTGGCCAGGTTGGAGGTTGTGTGTACAGGCCCATATTATGGGAGTGACTAATGGCAGCAGCCGAAGGCATATGGTGGGCAGCAGCAGGGTACTGGGACGCAGAAGTCGCAGCAAAGGTGGGGGTGGTGGCTGCGAAAGATCCGACTTGTTGGGTGTTCAATTGTTTGCGCAATCGAGCACGTCTGTTGGAGAACCACACCTGAACACGAGCTTCAGTCAGTCCTGTGGACTGAGCCAGTTCCTCTCTGGTGTAGACGTCGGGATACTGAGTGCGGGCAAAGACGCGTTCCAAGGCGTCGACCTGTTCATTGTTGAATGTGGTACGGGATCGGCGTTGTTTGCGCTTTAGTTCTACACCGGGCTCAGTGTCGTCATCGGTGTCGTCGGCAGAGTGCCCCGACAAGGGTCCTAAAATGCCGTCAATGGAGTGACCATTGGGACCGGATTCACTGCCAGAACCACCACGCAATAGACGGCTTATAGAACTGACCGAAGGAGCTGAGTTCTTGTCGCAGACCCCCGACTCGATCAGTTTGGCACGAATTTCCCAGCTGAAGATTCCAGGATTCTCCTGCTTCATTTCTTCAATTTTGGCCTCAATATCTGGAGTGGCCACACGCGGCTTGCTGCCACCAATAACACCGGGGCGAATTGACCCCGTCTCCTGGTAGCGATTGAGGATCTTTGAAACGCAGCCGTGCGAGACACGCAGTTGGCGCGAAATAACACAGGGACGTACTCCAGCCGCAGCCATTTCCACGATCTGCCTGCGAATGTGGTTGGGCAAGGGACGTCCGTTAATGAAGACACCGCCTAATTGATTGACACGGCCCTGTCCTGCAAAAGATAAAAATAGAATATGAATTAATAAACATTTCCATTGGGATTAGCCAATTGAATAAACAATTTCCTAAGACGGATTAGCCGACAACACAAGACATGATTGCTCTATTTTCCTAATCGCACTGCCGCACAAAAGCCGAAGCAATTGACCAAACAAACAAAAGACAATGCCGAAGAGGTCCATTGTCCGATCGGGACACACACGCACTCGCCTTCTCGACGCCGGCCACAACACAGCAACCAGCCCGGGCCTATTTGAAAGCGTTTAACAACAATTAACATTTGTCTGAACTCCAAACAGGGCTCTATTCAAATGCTGCGCTAATCTGGGCATGCAAATTTGTGCAATTTGGGAATTGCTCCTTTTTCTGTTTTCATTACTTTACGGCTGAAGAAGATTTGAGGGCATTACGTTTTCGTGCCGAGGCGAACCACAGCCGGCACTTTTTTAATTTATTTCAATTCTATGAGGTGTCGTCGGCGAACAACCTTCGGAGATGAAGAGTATCTCTCCAGCTGTGCCAGTTAATCAGGCAAGAAAAGAAACGCATGCATGCCCGAAAGAGAACATCAAGCGAAGAAAGTTTAGTGATCCTCTGTCGAAGATCAAAGCTTTGTGCCGAACGCGCCACTCCGTCTGGCACAACCAAGTCGGCAGAGTGAATAACGTGAGTGTGTTGTTGCTGGTGCGAAGAAACACAAAGAGGAAACGACGAAACTGGCTGGCCCGGTCTGGGCCGGTCGTTTGCGGACTGAAGATGTGATGCTGTGTGAGGCAACAGCAAATTATTGATCATGATCAGCTTAATGTGAGGTGTTTTGAAGACTGTTTTTTGTGGTTGTTGTTGTAATATGATGAGGTTTGTTGTTCATTTCGCCTTCCCTTCCTCCCCCATACCTGTCCTTAACTGCCTACTCACAATTGGAATGCGGCCGATGGTGTCTATTGCGTTTGGAATGTCTCGTATGTGTGTCGGCCTAAACAAGAAGATGTGCCCCTAGATATTTCTGATATTTACCTTGAAAGGGGTATCCAGCAAAATATGGAGTCATGGTTAAAGCTGACACTGCCATTTAGCGACAATACTGGTTGGCGATTGGTATTTTGTTCTTTGTATATCCACAGTGTAGTTGTAAACCGAAAACTTTTCTCAATGCACTGTTGCGTTTTTTTTTCTTTGTCTGCGCTTCTTTCAACAATTTTCGTAAATAAATAATTGGTGTTTATTTTGTTTGGTGTTTTGTCAAATGTTATGCTTTTGGGATTGGACACTTTCCGTTGGATGTGACTTGTTCGGATGGCTGGTTGAAACTGATTTTGAAACGGTCAATGCTGTCCATAAAACCAAACTCTGAGATTCTCTCTTAACTCTCGCACACACAATGACCACTTTGTAGCAAAGTCAAGTAAGGCAGCCAGCTTCAGTGGAACAACAACATAGCGGCCTGGCTATCAGACCTCGACTGTTTTTCTCTCTCTCTCTCATATGGGCCGACCTAGTGGGAAAGAGATGGCAAATGTCGCGGTGACGATCGGTGCAAGGAACACCCACAGAGCTCGCTCTCTCCCATCATATGCCTTCATAAGGGGTGAAAGAGACGTCGTCGATAGAAAACAATGGCTGCCATTGTAGTTATCCATCTCGCTTTTGCCTGTGGCCCGAATGGTTCGTCACAGCAGAATGTACCATCCCCTTGTTTGCACCTCGTTGTTGTTGCATGATGCAGCCAGTATCCCATATGGAGACCGCACTCATGGATTCCTTACTATGTGTGAATGTGTGTGAGTGTGTGTGGCGTATGCCCAAGTTGGTTCGTTGGTTGGTGGTATCTTGTTGGCGAAAATGGCTCTTTCATTAATTTTTCATAGTTATTTAACATTTCGTTTTGAAGTTGTGACCCTTGCCGACAATTGCTACGATTCAATTTCCCACCATATCTAACTGGTTATCTGTTTCGTTTTCTACTCTGCCTCATTTGTACCTAAGGGTCTTCCTTACACGAGTCTGTTGATGGAGTCAACAGTAATTTCTAGAAGCTTATGAAGCATTAGAGAAAACTTGGCACCAGGTTTGCCGGGTTAGATGGATCCATTTTGAATTGCAACTATTTCTGGCATTGTTATGTGTTTTACCTCCAATGTATTTTTATTGGACCCGTGCAGTCTCAAGTACCCACGGTTTCTTGATGAAGAATATCTACACATATATTATGGGTCATGGGTATAAATATCAATCTTGAACATTGTTACGTCGATAGCAAAATATTGGGTAGCCATCGTATTTGGTTGGGGTTATGCCTATAAAACGGGCTATAGGAGTGATTGGTCTGAATATTGTACTGAATTTTGGAGTAAGCGGTAACTCTGTGATCTCTCCTATTGTTCCTATTCGATATGTACATGGATATACATGGATTTTTTGTGAAATATTATTGAAATAAAAGTTTTTAATTAGCCCCACGTTGTTATGTCTCCCTTTGCAAGAAATCAGTATCCTTTCAAGAAAATCCAAAGAATGAAAACAGCAACATGTGGTCCTTGGTCAAATAGAATCGAAAATAACAATGAAAATGACAGGCACACCGAATGTTCTGTGGGAGCATTCAAATATTTCTATTGGTCCGGGGACAAACTATGCTAATTTTTCGCTGCACTTCTCATTTGTGGTAAACGCGATCCGATAATCCGTCCCATGAACTTATTCACTACAATATCTCTGACAACGTCTTAATTGGCACAGCCATTAGTCGGAGTAGATTTTATTGCCGGTGATAGCAAAAAATGATTGCAACTTTGGCAATATAGCCAGCCTACCTAAGCTGCCGTGTTATTTTGGAAGATGCATTGCAGTCCATCGTTTGCCATCAAAGAGTCTTTCACACAAGTATTTAATACCACATGTCATTCCAGCAGGGTGGGCATAATCATCAACTAAACACACAGTCAATTCAATTGTTGTGTTAATAGCTCCGCCAACCCAACGCCTGTGCACAAGGGAAATTTCTTTTTTTTTAACCGACTACGATCGAGCCACCAACGACGATCTGAACATAAATGGACCACACTCTCCCCCTTTGTACGTTGCTCCGCATTCATCTCATTCTCACTTCAGACAATAGAATATGATCCTGTTTTGGTGGTTTTTGCGTGATTGCTGTGTGGTGTTAAACGTTAATGCGCGTGCCCAGTCCGCATCACATGAAAAGAGTGCCGACAATTATCTAAACTCTGGAGCTGTAACATCACAGGGAATATGCCGACCTTCACAAACAATTAGTTGCGGTAGGCTCTTCATTAGAGCCGTAAAGGACTTCAGTTGTCAATGCGGAGGAAACACTGCTTAGACCATCTGACGTTTTTTCCCAACGGCTACTTAGCAGAGAGGGAGCGAGATTCCTTTTTCATTCCGAAAATTAGGTTAATGTGGGCGTCGAAAGTTTTACACTTCATCGAAAGACCAATGGTGCAACAATCTGTTGCATGATTAAGCAACATTTACAGCAAGGACCCCACACTAATTCCCGCTAAAAGGTCATCATGAAATCATGGCAGTTTGAGTAACATCCGGCCGTAGTACTCGACATGTCTCAAAACGCGCCAGCAGCCAGAGATTCGATCGGAATGTGAAAAACAAATCGGAAGCCTTTGCAAGGAATTCATTGCTCTTGGTGATCAGAGAGTATTCTTGTTCCAATATGCCACTAATATCGCCTCTTTGGAGTGTCATGGACACCTTAAGCATTAATTAGGCATAGAAATGCCTCCCGTCCTAACCTGTTTTAGTGGTCCGTCCGCCATCCATTAAACACAATTAATTGTAGTCGATTTTTCAAAGCGGTTGTAATTCTCCTCTTCTTTGAGATGTTTGTTTTTCGGTTTTGATAAACACAATACCCCGATATCAGAACTGCTATCATTATTTTTCAGATTGGAGGGTGCTGGGGGCATTCAAAGAAAGCCGGAAAGCCTGTTCAGTAGTCGGTGTAAAGAAGCTTAACATGTTTGTATTTGGCCTTTTACAAAGTACTTAACGCAGGTTATTAATGAAAACATTTTAATCTCTGGATGGGAAAATTCGAATAGATCGAACACCATAGCCATATCATTGTGAGCAAAATAAGCAGTAGATGGCATTGGGATAGTATTAATCACACCGATAGCCGAGCAGTGCCAATGATCAGACTTTTAAAAAACGATGAACTCGCGAATCCAACCCAAAAATTCTACGTATGTCAATTTAAGTAATTGCCGCGACAGTATGGATAAAATACAATATACAGTACGAATACAATGTAGGAGAGGTAGGCCAGGTTTGATAAAAGAAAGCGTTCAAGTGCCACGGCAACAGAAGGCAGTGGCTGCAAAGCAAGTCATGGACATTACCAATGAAATACAATTCGGAATTTTATCGAAACAATAATTCAGTGAAAACTTAAAAGTAACAATAATTTACTGACAAACTTGAGATGAAATTAATCTGAACTTAGATGCATGGGTAACTACTGTTGGTCTGTAGGATTGAGATATAGCGGATATTTCACTGTTTTAACTACAAGAGAAAAAATGCTAAATTGTTTGCTGGTGTTGCGAATTCTGAAATTAGAGTGTCTTAACGCTAAATTATGTAACACTGGCATGGCTAGTGTTGTACCACTGTTAGTCAGTCCCAGATGCTGTAGGACAAGTTACTGAGATTTAGCTTCTCTATGACGGCTGGAAAGTGAATGCAAAGGCCATTCCACCAGCCATTCCATAAATGTCTCAAAATGTTTTGATTTTTTGAAATTGGAAATGAAATACCCTTTTTCGCATCCACTTTTGAATTTCGTCGCAAAAAAAAACACATTCATTTTGTACCGCTGGTGTACCGCTTTATTCAAATTCAAAATAAAGGATTTCGAGGACGTACCATTTAGTGCGAAGTGGCCAACAGATATTTTGATAGTGCAACTAATGTTCTATAAAAATGCAAATCGAATGCCTTTTTGAGAGTTCTTCAGAATTGTTAATGAAAACGTCATCAAGGTTTCTGTCTCTATGAAATCGATATAGTGATAGGATTAATGTCATGTTTATGTTCGAGCTTTTTGTACACGCAGAAAAATACACGTTCGAAATATGTTTGGATCCAATTATGTATATATTTGGGGCTGTTTGCAAGCAAATATATATTTGGATATATATGTGTTTGTAACATTTTGTAACATATTTAAATTTTAATTGTTTGGGTTCAAACATATTTTTTATGTTAGAACATAATTTTTAACGGGTGAGAGACAATTTTTGTCATAAAGAGCGTAACAATAGCGCTCTCACACATCTTATAACAAAGGGCTGTTGGTATAGTGCGGCAGAAGACACAAAAGCGAAGACAAGGGGGGTGAAAACTTTGTTTTTGCTGCGCGGCTATTTGTTGATGCTGTTGCGGGGAGAATGATGACAATTTTTATAAGTTCGGTTGTAAGATTTAGAAGATTTTCTAAAAGAATTTTGGTTTTATTTAATTTTTTGGTTCCTCTTCTATTGAGCTTGCGATCTCGTTACTTGAGTAAAAAATGTTTTTTTTTTGTCATAGAAGTTATTTTTAAAATAACTTCTGGGGAGAATATCCCAGACAAAAAACAAGGAACTGATGAGGATTGGTGGCTATTTCCGAAATCTAGGTATTCCCTGCCTTACCCCATGGTAAACATTACCATCGTTATCCACTAACAAACAAACGTTGTTTTTATAAAAACAACAATAAAGGGATTAAGCCTGACTATTTTGCAACAGCAAAATACTATGGTATCCCGAACAAACAGGCCAACACTGTTCCATATATATTAAATATATATACTTCGATACAAACATATATATACTTATTTCGAAGCATATACATATACTTGCATCTAAGCATATATTTACTTGTAGTACCCAAACACATTATATTTTTGAGACTGTAGCAAACATATATATGTTTGCTGAAAACTATGTTTGGAGACATATGTTAGAGAGGCAATTTTTTTCCTCCGTGTACGGTTAACCTACTTTAAGGAGATTTATTTGAAGTATAGGCAATGGATACGTCAATTAATCGAAGTCCAGTGGTTTAACCCGTTTATATGTAAACGTACTGTTACATTTCATTTCTTCGCAAAACTCAAAAGTTGTTTCCCTACAAATGTTGAGTGTATTCACATTTAGTTTAATAATTAATAATATTCGAAATAAGTTTAAATATTTTATTTAAAAACAATTAATGCAAATAAAAAGGTAAAATTTTTCTTGAGCTCAGATGAGCCTCAATGGAAAAATTGTATTTGGGTAGTTTCTATCATGGTAC